AAAATATGATGTGTGTTTCTTTCTTTTATATTTTATATGTCAAAAGTGGCCTTGGCTTTGTGAAAATGACATAGTATATAGCATAATAGGGAAGTGGAATTTAAGCTGTTGAATCTCATCAAGCTAAAGATACTAGGTTGGTTCAAAATTTAATAATAGGGCTGCCTCAGAGCCTTTTAAAAGCCATTTAATAATAGAAATGAGATAATCAGCCTATTTTTTTCCCAGAAGATTTCTTTAAAATTCCTACAACCATAAAAATAGTATCATGAAAAAAGAAATGTAGACATGCTGATCTCATTTCAAGGAAGAATTTAAGCATAATCCCTGACTTCAAAATGGCCCACAGAATGACTTTGACATGAATCATGAGACAATAGAGAATTTTAAGGGAAATCTGTTTCAAAATAATCCAAGCTCTTTGGCATTATCATTAAACGTATGGAAAGGTAATTATGCTGCATTGATGAGATGATACACCCAAACTCTTGAGCTCTCAGAGAGCTCTAAATAGCTCCTCCTTCTCTCCATATAGAGATTGGAAGACTTAGGAGCAGAGAGGTTGGTTGACTCATCCATAATTACACAGTACAGTCTAGTGGATGTCACACCTGATTCCAAGCATAGCTTAATGATATAATATAGTAGGTTCTTTCTTTGCCCTCTTCTCATTCCTTCCTTTCTTCTCTTTCTTTCCCCCCTCCCTTCCTCCCTCCCTCCCTTCTTTCCTTCCCTATATACTATACGCTGTTACATATTTATAATATATAAAATAATTTAAGCATAGAATAATGATACATATTTTACAATATTCACAATTGATTTTTCTATTAAAATAAAATTTACTGAGGCATATTGGAGCAAGAACTTTTGTTCTTAATTTCAGGGTTTGGTTTTGTTATTGTTGTAACTGCTAATATCTCTATTACGGTGGGCATGCTATTTGTTGCATTTAATTTAAGTAATGAATAAGGATGAAAAATTAACTTAATGGGTCTGGGGGCACCAGAAGTTAAATGGAAGTTATTTCATTTGTCAGTATGAGACATGACAGCATTAGTTCTGCTCAGTTACTTGTTTCAAGAGGTAGACATTAGCTTTGGATTTGGTGAATCTATTGTTTGCAAAGATGCCTCTCCACATAAAGTCAGATTATCAATCAAATGTGGACAGATGCAATTTACTAATGGTAAGAATGAAAATAAACGTAGACTACATCCAAATAACTCACTAATGAAATACCAAGGCTTTAACTTACATCATTACCTTGCAAAATGTTGCCTGTAATTCAGCTAAACATTCATTCACATCAGTAGCCATGGATTTTAAACAAATTTAACTGTAATTCATTTAATCAGTTAAAAACATGTTATATAAGCAAGTAGAAAATTTGATTGACTATCATCTACAACTTTTAGCCATTTTGTTTTGCAAAGAAAACTGAAGCTCAGGAAAGTTATTAACTTGGTCAAACTCAAAGAAGTGGCAAGGGTCCCAAAATTCCATCAAGTTTTCAATTTCCATTGTAACATATAGTTAGTAATCTAGTCAATGACACACCTACTTTATCTGAATTTCATTTTCAAGTAATACCTTTTAAATTTATTATAAAACATTAAAAATTTATAAATAATATTTAATGTTATGCATATGACATGTATATCATACAAATTACACAAGTGTGTGTGTGTATATAATATATATATATACACACACACACACACATCCATGAGTAGCCTTGGGGTAAAATCAGTATACAATGGAATTCAGTACCTTCACATTAATTTTTGGCTATTAGGATACTTAGTCCTTTCCCATATTTTTCTTCTTGGGTCTTCAAAGAGAGGAGTCAGTCTCTCTGATAACTGTTATTTCCAAACTCCTTTACTGTATGAGGTATATACTAGTTCTGTAACATCAAAATCTTACTTTTCTCTTTACTACTTAATATCTGTCATAATAAATAAGAAATTCCTTTATACATTCTGTTGTGGGTTGAACTGTGCACCACCAACTCCAACAAAAAAGATCTTAGAATATAACCAAAATTTGGAAACAAGGTCTTTACAGATGCAATCAAATGAAAATCTGGCCATTAGGGCAGATCCCAATCCAATATGACTAGCATTTGTAAAGGGAAAATTTGGACACAGAGATTGACATGCAGAGATGATGGGAAAATGCACTGAGAACATCACGTGAAGATGGAGGGTTGGTGTGCTGCAGCAACAAACCAAAGAAAATCAAAGATTGCCTGCAAACTGTCAGAAGCAAGGAGGCAAAAGGCTTCCCCTGTAGGTTTCGGAGGAAGCATGGCTTTGCCATCATTCAGACTTCTGGCTCCAGACAGTGCGATAGCAAGTTCTGTTGCAGAAGCCACCCAGCTTGTGGCGCTTTGTCACAGCAACCCTAGGCAACTGATACTTATCCCAAGCCAAACTAATGAGAAACAATTGTGTTTGCTTTTCAAAATTTACTTTTTTTTTAGTTGCTAGTGTTTTCCTTACAAATTGTAGACACAGAAACTAAACACCCTGAATTTATCTCAGCTCACTCAGATTTGTCTTACAGACAGAATCTTGGAAAATACAGCATATTGTAAATGATTCTTCTGTTTTCAAGAAATGAGTATAAAGTGAAATAACACTTAATAAATAAATAAATAAAAATAATTTTTTTTATTTTAAGGATCATCACCAAATATTTGAATGCATATTTAAATATTAATTCATATCTATTTGGACCTGACAAATGATCTGGTTTGATTATACTATCCACCCATGATGTAACCTGAGTCAGCCTTCTCTCATTTCTTCATTTTATCCATCATTAAGTACTTGTGTGCTGATTTTCCTAAACTGCTTTTTCAAATCATCTTTCCTCTGAATCTAGCTACTTCTTTAGTTCAAAATTTCACTATCTTTTAATAGGTTCTTAACAGATTACTTTTCTCCAATTTTAACAGTCCTGATAAATCTGACAGATCCATTTTGTTCCAGTGATGGCAAATGCCACATGTATTATAAAGACTATTATTGTACATTCTAGGTGTTTTATATATAATCTATTTAATCAGAAAGAGAACAACCTGCTTAGAGACATTAAATAACAGACTTTGGGTCATATAAAAAGTGGTTAAGCTGCAATTCTGTTCTACTCCAAAATATACACACTAATTACTATATCATAAAAGTATTTTCATATTGGCCATTAGAAAATAACATGTTGGTTATCAGGTAGCTTGTAAATATTTTAGCTTCTTTATTTACTTGTTGATATTTTGGTTTTGATGATTTAAAAAACAATTACATGCTGTTCTGCTCAAAGTACTGACACTCAAGTGATGAAAGAATAATTCCTAAATGCCTTGGAGCAATCATCTCATTTTTACTTCAGTTCTTTCATTTGACATAATTTTTGTGAGTAGGATCTGAGTTAAAATTTCAGAGAGTGGAAAAGGGTTACCGAGGATAACAAAGTACATCAGAATGATTATCACTACCCTTAAACATGCACTTTAGGGGGTTGCATAGACACAATCAGTATGCACAAAAAGAATAATGTTTAATTTGCCTATTATAAAACATTAGACAATTCTAAAGCAGAATAGAGATTTCATTTTAACTGTTTAAAACCTGAAGCATCTAAATTATGACAATGGCTAAAAGATAGAGTGTTCAATGTATCTGTATATGTTTACATGCATGTGTTGATACACTTGTCATGAAGGATTTGATGATCTAAATTAACTTTTGGCTCCCTAGGAAGATGGGTACTAGAAGGATGACCATTTATTCAAACAGGGAGAATTCTGAGAAGAAAAGGAGGTGGAGGGCATTGTTAACGATGATATTGGATGACAGGCATAACATGGGACTTTTGCTGGTAAATAGGGTGTGGATAAAATGAAAGTTCTGGTGGCCAGGATTCTCACCTGGCCCTGGTTGGCTAGCTCACAACACACATGTAGACAATGCATTGTTATTGACTCTATATAAAGAGACCTGCCCAGTGGTCTGGGTGATACATAGGGTTGCAAGGCTGCAGGAGAGCAGAGCAGTGGCTGGAGTAGTGGCAGCGCCGAGGACAGAGACTGGGACGGCTGTGCAGGCAGAGAGGCCCAGAGGCAGAGACTGGCTTGCTGACTGCAGACGCTCGCTGAGTGTACGACATTTTAGTGATTGACCTGCCACCAAGGAAATACAGTTGGGTATAACCCTTTCACCCCAAGAATGTTCTACTGTCATTTCTTTGGTCACATTGAATCCATAGTGAACTTGCCTGGGGCTGAAACTCATTGGCAGACATAGGGGCAGATAGTTAGCCTAAATGTAAATAAAAATGCATACAGCTGTAAGTTAAAGTCAAAGGAGATGAGAAGAATATTGAGAAATAAATTTTTTTTGAGAAATGTCAAGGAATTACGTAGAATGGCCATGAATGTAACACCATACTGCTGACTCTGGACCCTGCTCAGCTATGTTTATGGAAATCTATTACGTTTATCCTTGAAAAATGTTACTCAAAATTGAGTCAATCAAATAGTCTCTTACCTTCTATCTGATAAACCCCCTTCTCACAGGGAAGGGGATGGTTCTTTTGTTACTAACCACTAAGTGACACAGCATGAGTCCACTTTGAGCTTTGGTTTCTCAAGATAGGTACAAAATGAGTAAGTCTTGTTTTTCCCTTTTTTCCTAACTCTAATAGCAGCACACTTGGTAGCTATTAGCCATCACTGATCCTACTTAAGGAAGCTAAAACTCATTTTGCATATTCATCTGTTAATTCAGTTCTGGTGCCACATTTACAAAACATTCCCCAGAAACACAGCAACAAAAATATGACAATCTCCTTTGTAGTATTCAGGGTCATTATCAGCTTCAATTGTTTCACTGTCTTCTTTACGTAACTGCTAGAATTTTTAATTCTGCAAATAGCCAAGCTTTTTAAAGAAGTACACACATAATTTGTCCACTTTAAAAAGCACTACACACTACCTTTCAGATGAGGGCTATGTACATGCATTCTTTGAAGATGTAGATTTACTGGAACAAATTCTAATGCTTTCTCTCCTTTGCTGCTGCTCGGTTTGAAAGAGGACCCTAAGTGGAAAAAAATTGAACATTATTTGTAAACAATGTGTGTGTGCACATATGTGGAAAAGTATGTTTGGCATAGAAAAATGTCACAAGAATTTCAGAAAGAAAAACATACTGTATAACTTTCTATTCTTTTCAGAAATTGAATCAAAATTTTGCTTTATCTATAATAATACCATGAGATAAAACGGTGTGATTTCTTTCTTCCTTGTTGTCATGCCAAGATGGTAGTGTAAGAAATCAGGTCGGTTTTAAAATTTTGGCTCTGATATATTGATAACAACCTTGTTGATTATTGTTTTCCCATAATGTACATGAAATGCAAGTCAGTTTGGTTATATAACATCATTCACACCTGTTTCTTTGCTAAGTTCTGTCAGAATGTCTTGGTACATATTCACCATTTGATCACAGTGAGTGAGGACATTTTTCCGTAGATTGTCCCAGTGTGGAGAAAGCTCACCAAGTTCTTTTAGCTCCTGGTTTCTGTTAAGAATGGAAAAGAGGAGAAAATCGTTATTTTGATCCTAAGTCCACAGATGTGGAACACTTAATCAAAGTTGCCTAACTAATAAGAAATTGATTCACCATCCCTTTCAGGAAAGCTTGATGTTATTAGAAAAAAATAACAATTTTGACACAAGATATGAATAGTTTAGGTCACACAAACATTAACAATTTTGTATGCCAAAGAGAAAAAATATAGGTTAAATAATTTTTCTCACTGATAACTTCACAAATATGGTGAACATTTAGTATCCTTAATATATAGAGAGGCCATTGAGTTAAAAAACAAACACTAAAACCTCAACAGAAAGACATTAAGTTCTACGCTTTGACCATACAAAATAAAATAACCTGTTTGAAGGAAATGAATATCTGTAGGTAACCCTGTTTGCATATATGATAGCTATAAAATTTTTTAAAAACCCATAAATGGTATGATCAGGTATAATTTTATTGGCTGAGTTTCTCCCAAGAGGGCAATTTAAGTAAATGTTATATCTGTATATATGTTTTGCTCTTTCATTATCAAAAAGAAAAGCTAATCATGCCATTTAGGTTTTAATTACTAACTTTTATCTAATTTTCTACCCTTCTGCCAAGTTAATTTAAATCATCAGAATGCCTTTTTAAATTATAATGATAAATGGTCTAATACGCTGCTTGGTTAGATCTCTCATTCATTTCGGTAACCTTTTACCAACAACATTTTCATGAGGCTAATTTAACCAGCAATAATGAACTGTCTTTGCTATTCTGGCTGTGAAACACGCTAAATATCAAGCTAATAAATTCAGAAAATGTAGAATCTTTAACATCCTGTTAAACACAAGAATAATGGATGGGGTGCAAAAATGTGACTTGCTTTTAAATGTTTGCAGCTGCTTTTATTTTGTTTCAGTGTGAATGCAATGCAGTATTGCTGCATCTTTCATCTGATGTCTTTACAATTTTTGTGAACATTAATCTTGTTCTCAATTTTTCCATAAATAAGATTACATCACACAACATTAATGGCTAAAAATAAATTAATCAATAGACAATGAGAGTAGAGGAAGTTAATGACCAAAGGTGGGAGGATGGTGGAGGGAAGGTGGAAGAACTGAAGACTCAAGTTCTCTGTGCATTCAAATGGCAGGGTGTTCAAGCTCAGGACAGAAGAGCAACAACCAAAACAAACAAATAATTCCAAAAGCTTGAGATATTCAAGTTTGTAAGGTCCTGGGACAATTAGGTCAAATCTGAGATAGACCACAAGTGTGATAGATCAACTTAATATGCACAGCTTCAGACTTTCCTTCCAATTTATGGTTATAATGGAAATACTGGTAAAATATTCTTATTTAATACTAATTGATGCACCATGGGTTGCAATTTATGCTGTCTCTGAATCCTTGTCAGAAAGGATAATTAAAAGAGAGGAAGTTGGGGAGGAAGGAGGACAAAAAGAAGTCCCTAACTGTGCTGTGGGATACTGGTGTGTGTGTGTGTGTGTGTGTGTGAGGGGGGTCCATTTCTTTCCCTAAGAAGTCTGGCAAAATATGGCCAGAAAAGTTTAATGTTCTGTGGGGACTGACTTGGAAAATGGAACTTTGGAATACTTTGTTAGATGGGAGAGACATTCATACACCAGTTCCTTACTATCTTCTATATTATTTCATAGGTAAAGATTTGTCCTAGGAGATGAACCCCTCTGCACTTCTGTTGTGTGATCTGACTCCTCTGGGCAGCCACTAGGGAAGAAACATCCCAATTAGGCAAAACCGACCTGAGTCTGGTCTGATAAGACATAGGTGCCAGAATCACTCTAGATCGTTCCATGGTAGATGCCACTGGGGGCATGCTAACAACTGGTCTTCACCTTGAGGGAGGCTGATACAGCTGGTGGTGTGAGGAGATAAGCTGACAATGGTGGCAGTATGTGGGGCTTTCCAAAGAACAAGTGGTCAAAATCTGAGGAAAAATTAGGGTGGAGACAGTATATAAAAACACATAAACTGGTCCAGGACAGGTGTGGGGAAGTTGGGGTTCCTACGGCCCGGATCTTCACTGAACTCAAACCACCTGATGATGTAACTGGCCTGTTGCTAGGATACTGCTTCCACATCTTTAGGAAATAGGCTATTATTGCACTGTACAGAGAGTTCAGCTCAGTGCTCTGGGCAGAGGCAGAGACACTACTGCTCAACCTACCGCCGGGAGAACAAGCCAGGTAATAAACCCTTTCACTTCAAAGAACGTTTTGCTGTCAATTTCTTTGGTCACATTGACTCGATAGTGAACTTTCCCAGGGCTGAAACCCATTGGCAAGACAATTGGCATAGTCGGCAGGGTTCATTGTTGACCAAAGAAAAAGGCTGCCCTAATGGGAGGGGTGCTTCAGCGGGCTGCCCCTATGAATGGGGAGACAGTGGATCGTCCCTCAATGGGTATGTGGTCTAAGGTGGCTTGCTTCCTAGAGGACTGGGCCCCACCCCAGGACTAGAGGCAAGTGGAGGTGACACCTGAGGCTATAGGGGAGGCCCTTGGTATAGTAAGCAGATCCTTAGAGAAACAGAGTGCCTGTGAGGCAGCAGGGACTGTGGGTTGGCTGCTTCTCAGTCTTAAAAATGTCTACAGAAGAGACCCAAGAAATGGTGGCACAAGAACGCGAGCTGCAAACTTCTGTGGATTCCCTGAAGAAAGAGATTGGAGAAACTCCAGCAGCTCGAAAAGGTGGGTATTATAAAGCCCACCCATAGTCCTTTCAATTCCCCAGTGTGGCCAGTAAAAAAGCCAGATGGCTCCTGGCGTATGACTGTGGATTACAGAGAACTGAATAAAGTCACACCCCCTATGCATGCTGCTGGCCCCTCTATTGCAGGCTTGATGGATACCGTCAGCCATGAACTAGGAACATAGTACTATGTGGTAGATCTTGCTAATGCCTTCTTTTCCATTGACATTGAGCAGGAAAGTTAGGAAGTTTGCCTTCACATGGGAAGGATAGCAATGGACTTTCACCATCCTTCCACAGGGATACCTCCATAGCCCCACCCACCATCTGCCATGAACTTTTAGTGCAGGGCTTGGCTACATGGGAGAAACCACCAACGGTGTGGCTATACCATTATACTGATGATGTCATGCTTACATCCGATTTTTTTCAGATCTAGAAGGTGCAGCACTTAGACTGCTGCAACATCTACAGGAGAAAGGATGGGCTGTGAACAATACCAAGGTTCAGGGACCTGGTTTGTCTGTCAAATTCTTAGGAGTCGTCTGGTCAGGTAAGACCAAAATTATACCAGAAGCAGTTATAGATAAAGTCCAGACCTTTCCTACTCCTACAACTGTAGCATTGCTACAGGAGTTTCTGGGTCTTCTAGGCTACTGGAGAGTGTCTATCTTGCACTTGGCACAAATTCTGAAGCCCTTATACTGGTTGGTGTGAAAGGGCATCAGGTGGGACTGGGATGAGACATGTGCATCTGCCTTTACTACAACAAAATGGGTAGTCAAGGCTATGTAGGCCTTTAGTGTGATAGAACCATCAGGGCCATGTGAGCTGGATGTTCATGTGACTGAAGACAGTTATGGCTGGGGTCTCTGGAAGTGGCTTGAATGAACTTGCCAACCCGTTGGATTCTGGTCACAACTCTGGAAAGGGGCAGAGGTACGATACACTGTGAAAGAAAAACAACTGGCTGCCATGTATCACGCCTTGCTGGCTACAGAATCCATCACTGGAATGGCCCTGATAAAGGTAATAACCACCTATCCCATCTTGGGGTGGGTACGAGACTGGTTCCAAAAGCCAAAGAGCGGTGTGGAACAAACACCCACACTAGCCAAATGGGGTGCTTCCTTCTCTAGTAGCCCCTTGAGTGAAGAACTCCAACACTTATTAGGGCCAGTGATACATACTAGTGAAAAGCAGGAAGAACTTGCTTTTGAACCATTAGTAGCAGAGAGTCCCTATCAGGAGGGAAGAGCCCTATATACCCAAAGATACATGGTACACAAATGGCTCCAACCATTGGCAGCCCCCAAAATGGAGGGCTATAGCTTTCCATCCTAAGACTGAGACAATATGGATGGAAGATGGTGAGGGGAAAAGCAGCCAATGGGCAGAGTTGCAGGCCATGTGGCTTGTGATCAGCCAGGAGCAATCCCCATAGTTTTCTGCACTGACAGCTGGGCTGTCTATCGGGGCTTGATCCTATGGCTACCAACCTGGTACAATGCAACTGGCTGGTTGCTCACTGACCCCTTTGGGGGCAAGAATTGTGGCAAGACTTATGGGCTTGTGGTCAAACTAAAATAATTACAGCATACCATGTGACAGGTCATTTGCTACTGGCATCCCCAGGAAATGATGAAGCAGATAAATTGGCCCAGATATGTTGGTTAGAAGGAAAGCCTGCCTCTGATGTAGCCCAATGGTTACATCAGCATTTGTTGCATGCAGGGCAAAAGGCAATGTGGGCTGAAGCCCTTCGGTGGGGCTTGCCTTTGACCTTTGAAGAAGTTAGCAGAGCCCGGCAGGAGTGTGTCGTGTGCTCCAAACAGGACTTACACTGAGTTCCACAGCAATATGGGACAGTAGCTAAGGGGCCTATACCCCTCATCAGGTGGCAGATAGACTATATTGGGCCTCTACCTGTGTCAGAAGGATATCGGTATGCGATGACTTGTGTGGACACAGCTACTACACTTTTGGTTGCTTCTCCTACCCATTGTGCAGACCAGCAGATGACCAAAAGAGGCTGGGAGGGTCTCTTTGCTGCCTGTGGCTAACCACAGGTGATTGAGAGTGATCAGGGCACCCATTTTACTGGACATACACTGCAAGAATGGGTGCAACAGCTGGGAATGGGAATCAAATGGAAGTTTCATGTGCTATACAAGCCTACTGCAGCAGGCATGACAGAGAGGCACAATGGCTTGTTAAAATCCAGACTAAAGTCAGATACCAATAGTCTGCAGGGATGGTCAGTCTG